GTGTGTGTGTGTGTGTCTGTGTCTGTGTCTGTGTGTATGTATGGATAGATAGATAGATAGATAGATAGATAGATATTACATGGGGTAATATAGAAGCAAACATAAACACACACCGATCGCACCAAGAATACCCATGATAGAAAGAAACCTAAATCATTTCATTATCACCATCCCATACACATACAGTGCAGAACCAGACACAAACAAACCCAAAAAATCGTCACCAAACATATCAGTCACAGAGTGCACTATCGATATTTTTCCAGAGTGGTGCTTCCGTGATTGCAAAGTCGTGATTGCAATGGAAGACGAGGAAGTGTTCGTGAGGGTTGAGGACCAGGGCAGGTTGATGAAGATCTCGAAGGTCATCAGGGAAGAGCTGCCTTTCTCTGCCAGTGTGAGTATATGATTATTTTTTTCGTAATGCTAATGTAATGGTAATGGTAATGGTGATGGTGATGATGATGATGGTGATAGTTGGTATTGATTTTGATAGTAGAATGATAATGATGGCATTTATGAGACAGTTATGATGATATTGATAGTTAATGATAGTGATGATAATAATATTGATAATGATAATGATGGTGATGATAGCGATAATGATGATAATATTAACAATAATCATGATAATAGTAATGAAAAGAAAATAATAATTACAGTTATGATGTTGATAATGATAATAATAATAAAAGTTGTAATGATAATACCAAAAACGATAATGGAAATAATGATATTGATCATGATAATGATAACAACAATCGAGATAGAAATAATGATGATACTACAAATAATTGCCAATTACATTAAAGTCATCTATATTTAAATACCTTTTAAAAGATAAATAAGCAATGATCATTAACACTACTTAGTCTTTTTATATAGTCCACCAAGCGTATTTATTGCACACCAATTCACACTTTTCCCGCCAGAGTGAGTCAGTGTCGTTGCTTTCTCCCACAGATGCACAACTGCCTGGTCCTCCACGCCCGCGGTTTTGCCTCCAGCCAGGATTTCTACGAGCTGAGGACGCCCACGAACAGCCTTATCATTCTGTCAAGGAGTAAGGTAGACAGCCTTATCATTTTATCAGGGAGTAAGGGAGACAGCCTTATCATTCTGTCCCTTATCATTCAGAGTATTATCATTCAGAGTAAGGTAGACAGCCTTAGGAGTCATTCTATAAGCCGGAGTAAGGTAGACAGGGAGTAAGGTAGACGCCTTATTCTATAAGGAGTAAGGTAGACAGCCTTATCAGGAGTAAGGTAGACAGCCTTATCATTCTATACAGCCTTATCATTCTATAAGGAGGTAGACAGGTAAGGTAGACAGCCTTAGGAGTAAGGTAGACTTATCATTCTATAAGGAGTAAGGTAGACAGCCTTATCATTCTATGGGAGTAAGGTAGACAGCCTTATCACTATAAGCAGCCTTATCAGGAGTAAGGTAGACAGCCTTATCATTCTATAAGGAGTAAGGTAGACAGCCTTATCATTCTATAAGGAGTAAGGTAGACGTCCTTATCATTCTATAAGGAGTAAGGTAGACAGCCTTATCATTCTATAAGGAGTAAGGTAGACAGCATTCTATAAGGAGTCAGCCTTGGAGTAAGGTCCTTATCATTCTATAAGGAGTAAGGTAGACAGCCTTATCATTCTATAAGGAGTAAGGTAGACAGCCTTATCATTCTATAAGGAGTAAGGTAGACAGCCTTATCATTCTATAGCAGCCTTATCATTCTATAAGGAGTAAGGTAGACAGCCTTATCATTCTATCAGGGAGTAAGGTAGACAGCCTTATCATTCTATAAGGAGTAAGGTAGACAGCCTTATCATTCTATAAGGAGTAAGGTAGACAGCCTTATCATTCTATAAGGAGTAAGGTAGACAGCCTTATCATTCTATAAGGAGTAAGGTAGACAGCCTTATCATTCTATAAGGAGTAAGGTAGACAGCCTTATCATTCTATAAGGAGTAAGGTAGACAGCCTTATCATTCTATCAGGGAGTATTATCATTCTATAAGGAGTAAGGTAGACAGCCTTATCATTCTTAAGGAGTAAGGTAGACAGCCTTATCATTCTATAAGGAGTAAGGTAGACGCCTTATCATTCTATAAGGAGTAAGGTTAGCAGCCTTATCATTCTATAAGGAGTAAGGTAGACAGCCTTATCATTCTATAAGGAGTAAGGTAGACAGCCTTATCATTCTATAAGGAGTAGACAGGTCAGCCATTCTATAAGGAGTAAGGTAGACAGCCTTATCATTCTATAAGGAGTAAGGTAGACGTCCTTATCATTCTATAAGGAGTAAGGTAGACAGCCTTATCATTCTATAAGGAGTAAGGGAGACAGCCTTATCATTCTATTAAGGTAGACCTTATCATTCTATAAGGAGTAAGGTAGACGCCTTATCATTCTATAAGGAGTAAGGTAGACAGCCTTATCATTCTAAGGAGTAAGGTAGACAGCCTTATCATTCTATAAGGGAGTAAGGTAGACAGCCTATCATTCTATAAGGAGTAAGGTAGACGCCTTATCATTCTATAAGGAGTAAGGTAGACAGCCTTATCATTCTAAGGAGTACGCAGCCTTATCATTCTATAAGGAGTAAGGTAGACAGCCTTATCATTCTATAAGGAGTAAGGTAGGATCAGGGAGTAAGGTAGACATTATCATTCTATAAGGAGTAAGGTAGACAGCCTTATCATTTATAAGCAGATCATTAAAGGAGTAAGGTAGACATTATCATTCTATAAGTAAGGTAGACAGCCTTATCATTCTATAAGGAGTAAGGTAGACAGGCAGCCTTATGGAGTAAGGTAGACAGCCTTATCATTCTAAGTCAGCCTTATCATTCTTCATCAGCGCATTCTACAGGGAATAAAGGAATTAGATCTTCTATCTCATTCTATCAGGGAATAAGGTAGATCATTCTATGGTAAGGTAGATCCTATTAAGGTTATCTTAGATCATTCTATCTACATTCTATCGGTTAGAGGTCTTGCAGCGTACATTCTATAGGTCTGTCCATTATACATTCTATTACGTCAGCTATCTTTATATCAGCCACGCGTTTTATCTCGTCTTCAACACGCGCGGTGGAGAGAAAAGGATGATGTGGTATTTTGGTGTGTTTATTTTAAAATGTTAGGAGGTGTACGTTGGCCTCGTGTTATTTGTCGGTACGTTGGGTTTGTCTTTTTTTTTTCTACATGTACGTCTATCAGGTATCTATCATTTTTATTGCGTTATTTTTTCTTCCTTTCTTCTTGTATTGTATAGAATCACATGGTGGTTCTTGATTGTCTCGCGGGGGGGGGGCAGGAGGTAGGTCAGAGTAGGTCAGCATTTCCAGAGGTCGAGTAGAGAGCTTTTTGTAGGCGTCGTATGATAACTGAGTGTAGAAAGATATGAATGAGAATATCTTCACAATACAAGGGATGTATTTGACCGGTTTCGAGAATACATCTTCGTCAGAAATACATGTGTATTTCTGACGAAGATATATTCCAAACCGGTCAAATACATCTCTTGTATTGCGAAGATACTCATTCTCATTCATACCTTTTCTACATTCATGATAACTTGAGGTCTGCGATCACTTGCCGTTGGCTTTTGTTCACTTAAAGAAGTAGGTCAGAGTCGGCACCTGTTGGCGATGGTCCTCGACTTCACTGCCGACCGTCTGGGACTTTGCCGTCGACTGCAGTATTGTGATTATGGTTTTATCATTCTTAGTATCATCATTTTCATAACGTTATTTTCATATCATCATTCTCATGGCGTCATTTTATAATCATTCTCATGGCGTTATTTTATATCATCATATCATCAGGCGTTATAATCATTCTCATAGCGTTATTTTCATTCTCATGCGTTATTATCATTCTCATAGCGTTATTTTCTATCATCATTCTCATGGCGTTATTTTCTATCATATAGCGTCATTATGGCGTTATTTTCTATCATCATTCTCATGCGCATCATTCTCATGGCGTTATTTTCTATCATTTTCATGCGTTATTTCATCATTCTCAGAGCGTTATTTTCTATCATCATTCTCATGGCGTTAGGCGTTATCATTCTCAGAGCGTTATATATAGCGTTATTTCGCGTTATTATATCGTCAATCTCACAGAGTCACTTTCCCATCGTAATTCCTATAGCCTTATTATTCTATTATAGTAACGCATAGCAACGAAGCAGCAACGGTCTACGAAGACGTTGCAGGAAGACGACATGACACTCTCGTCGCTCCACTGACAGGGATGTAGTGCTACGTCTCGTGCCCCTTTAGGTGCCTCCAGCCTCAGCCGCCGTCGTCCAGCGTGGGCGCTTCGTACGACCCTCGGCGACCTTCGTCCTTCGCGGCGGGGCTGGGGTCGTCCGCCGCCTCGGTCGCCAAGCGGTTGTCGACTGAAAGGGACCGATATTTAAAAGAAGGGGAAAAAGATCGAGGGGATGGGTTGTCTACGAGGACGATCGTTTTAGGAGACACACACGCACACGCACACGCACACGCACACGCACACGCACACGCACACGCACACACACACACACGCACAAACACACGCACACGCACACACACAAAACACACGCACACGCGTGACGCACACGCACTCGCACTCGCACTCGCACACGCACACGCACACCCACACCACACCCACACCCACACACACACACACACACACACACACACACACACCACACACACACACACACACACACACACACATCTCTCTCTCTCTCTCTCTCTCTCTCTCTCTCTCTCTCTCTCTCTCTCTCTCTCTCTCTCTCTCTCTCTCTCTCCCTCCTCCCTCTCTCTCTCTCTCTCTCTCTCTCTCTCTCTCTCTCTCTCTCTCTCTCTCTCTCTCTCTCTCTCTCTCTCTCTCTCTCTCTCTCTCTCTCTCTCACACACACACACATATCCTACAAATTTGCAACTTCCACCAGCCTGACTCAACATATTCCTGCTGAAGCTCTCAGTTTCTGAAAGAGAA